TTATAAATAGCAACTAACCAATTCAACTAAGCAATGAAAGTTCATAAGTTGTTTACTCAACTCTCCACTCACTCACAAAAGATGTGTGAGTATAAAAAAACAGTGCACTTAAACCTGATAATTCTCTTGGCTATACATATTGAACATCCATCTAACCACAAAGCTTAGTATTCTGTGCAAAAGGTTTTTAGAAGTTACTCTTTAATAATCAAGATAGAGAAAGTGATTTAAACAAGTAATTTTGAAATAATACCTAGGTAGAAAAGCATAAATAAACCCTTTCACACAAGAATTACCAAAGTAAAAGGAATAAGCAAGGCATTGGCTTTTTTTTTGTTCTTTTTTTTTTTATTTCCTTTTTTTTTGGAAGAGAATGTATATCAAAAGTGTGCATAAAATGTGCATGCAGTGCAACCACCCCCAACCTAAATGAGACAGTGTCCTCACTGGCATAGAATAAAAGAAATAAAAGCAAACCTACAATAGTAATAGCTACGGAAAGAAACCTAGAAACCTAACCTAATAAAAGATAAGCTAATAAATAAAAGCAAAAACAAATAAAAGAAAAGAAAGAAAAAAATGATATTATGGAAAGACAGAACCTGATTAAGTATTATAGGTTGGAGCCACAAGAACGATTTCCTCGGGTTGGTCTACTCGCTCCACATACTACTTCAACCATATTCCATTAACTCAAAAAATTCTCCCATCGATTGGATCCTCAATCTCAACCGCAACATTAAGAAAAACTCGTTTCACCACAAATGGACCTGTCTATCTAGATCTTAGCTTTCTTGGATGGAGATGTAAATGAGAATCATAAAGATGCACTTTTTGATTTGGCTCAAAGTTCTTTCTTAGGATCTGCTTGCCAGAGTTGCTTTCAATTTAGTCTTGTAGATCCTAGAGTTATCATATGCATTGTTCCTCAACTCTTCTATCTCTGATATTTGTAACTTCCTTCGGGTACCTGCAACATTCAAACCAAAATTAAGTGCTTTAGTAGCCCAATAGCCCAATAAGCTTTATGTTCAAGCTCCACAAGTAAATGACATGCTTTTCCATATACAATCCGGTATGGAGACATCTCAAGAATAGTTTTATAGGCAGTGCGATATGCCCAAAGTACATCTGAAAGGCGTAAAGACCAATCTTTACAATTTGGGTTTATCGTTTTCTCCTAAATTTGTTTTAACTCCCTATTGGCTATCTCAGCTTACCCATTAGTCTGTGGATGGTAAGCAGTTAACACTTTGTAGAGTTTTCAAATATGAAAATAATTAATAATCTCTCAAGAATAAAATTAAACAATAAAATCTATAAAGGAATCAAAATAAAATAATAAGTTAAACTCCTCAATTAAGATCCTCTCTAGCCTACCTTAACATAATTCTCTAGCACTAGAAAAGAAGAAAATATGTGCCTAAGAATAACTTCTCTCGATACTAAACCTAATTTTAAAGGCTCCTAACTAAAATAGCAGCCCTGTGGAGTTAATTTTATTTTCTTCTTTCTTCCTGCACAATCTTGTTAGACAGGGTTGAAATCTCAAGTCAAGGTGCAGAACCCTGCATGTTTCTATTTTTGTGCATAACTAACCAGGGATTGGATCCTAATCACAGAGTGTGAAACCCCTCATGCTACTGTCTATCATTTTCCATAGGCCAAGGGTTGGAACTTGAAAACAATTCCAACACCTCATTAACATGTCAACTTCACAAACTTACATAATGGAGAAAATCCCACTTGAGTTTTAAAACTTCTAAATTTAATCCTTGGACCCTCATCTTTTTGGTTCTTTGCATTTAAGTTCTTTTCTTCTAATTCTCTCCATTTAATATCAAATCTTCACTCATAAGAAATTTGCATTTAAATAGAATAAGCATTTATGAAATTATTTGTAGAAAAATATAACACTTAAACCCATAATTTCACAAATATCAATGGTTAAACACACTTTAAATATACATTTTCATGCTTTAGTCACTAAGCAATCATCAATTTCTTCTCTTCTCATAGTATAGAGAATGATAGTTGATGCACTAAAATCACTTTAGCAAGTGTACTAGTCGCTCCAAGTAATATAATGATGAGAAAAGTGTCGAACCCATGAGAATTGTGTCTAACTAAGTACCAAAATAATTAATCTAAATTTATTTGAACTATGGAAAAGATGGAATTTTAATTAAAATAACAAAAAGAAACTAACAATTAAAATAAAACTAATTAATATATGAGGTACTAAGGCATTGACTTCACCATAATCAATCAATATAAATTCTGGATTACCAAATTATTGAGTGTTATTGCATGTGATGGCGGATTTCCCTAAATTAATTAACTAGCTATCATTCACTTGTTTGTTAAATTAATCATATTTTTATGTAATTTTAAACAAACTTATGAGCATTAAATTTTATGGAAACCTCTAACTTAAGAAGGGGGAGCTCCTAACTCTCTTCTCTTCCTCCACTACCACATGTGAGTTAATTATCTCTCGATCTCATAGTCTAGCACACGGTTTATATTATTATTGGTCTAATCTACGCAATTCTTTTCAAGTTCATGCATAAATCACTAAATCAATTGAAAGGTGATCAGACTTCCAATGCATTAAATTCAATAATATAAACTCCTCATGCGAATAACTTTAATTGAAAGTATAAAATCACAAAATCTATATTGAATTGATTAGACTACATCATAACCTTAATAAAATAAATTAGTTCATAATAAAAATAATAAAATCTGAAATCATAGTTATGAACAAGAAAGAATAAAACCTAATTTGAGAAAATTATAATCCTTGATCTTCTATTGTTGAATCCTCTATCTTGACTTCCAAGAATGCCCAAAAGAGGGCTGCCACAAGCCTCTCAAAACTCCCCTTAATTATGAATTTGGATGGATATTTATAAGATTTTAGAAACCCTAATTAAAATAGAAGTAGGACTTGGAACAGAAATAGGAAACTAAATTTTAGACGCTGATCACGTGGTGCTGACACTTCGAATTACGTGTTGGCACAGAATAAGAAACAAAATCTGATTCTGGACGTTTAGCGCATGATGTCGACACCCCGGTGTTTCCTCAAAAATCCTCTAGTGGCCTCGCACGTGTGAAATCTGATGCGGGCGTGCCACTTACTTTGCTGAAAGTAAGAAAGGAGGACTTTCCCAACGACCCTCTCCTTCCTCACGGTCGACCTCTTCGCA